CTCTAGCACGTGTCACTATATAATCCATCCGAGTTCAATGATCCATTGTTTTAACTTATTTTCTAATTCATCGTAAGGTGAGAGAACAGTTCTTAGCTTCTTAAATGACTTGGATGATGCATCACATAACTTCTGTTCTTTTGATCTCCAATCATGCACCATTTTTGTGTCGCCTCTACGGAGTAGTGGCGACATATAGGGATCACTTCTCCGTCGTCTGTCCGTCCGTCTGTCTGTCCGTCCGTCTGTCCGTCCTTCACAAAACTTGTCCGGACTACTCCTCATAAACTACTGGTGCAATTTCATCCAAACTTTACAGGAATGATCAGTACCAAGTCTAGTTGTGCATATTGTCAGCATTTTCCAGTTCAGTAATTTTTGTCAGAGATATGGCCCTTCAATAATTTTTATTTTTAAAGGTTGTCCGGACTACTTCTCTTATACCACTAATGAAATTTCAATGAAACCTTACAGGATTGATCTGTAGCTCAAGTCCTTGGGCATATTGCACGGGTTTTCCCGTTGAATGATTTTTGGGCGAGTTATCGCCCTTTGATATAAAGGTGTTTTTTAATGTTAGTTGCCAGATACACAAAAGCTTGTCCGGACTACTCCTCATAAACTACTGGTGCAATTTCATCCAAACTTTACAGGAATGATCAGTATCAAGTCTAGTTGTGCATATTGTCAGCATTTTCCGGTTCAATGATTTTTGTCAGAGTTATGGCCCTTTAATAATTTTTATTTTTAAAGTTTGTCTGGACTACTTCTCTTATACCACTAATGCAATTTCAATGAAACTTTACAGGATTAATCTGTAGCTCAAGTCCTTGCGCATATTGCACGGGTTTTCCAGTTGAATGATTTTTAGCTGAGTTATGGCCCTTTGATAAAAAGGTGTTTTTTCTGTTAGTTGCCAGATACACAAAAGCTTGTCCGGACTACTCCTCATAAACTACTGGTGCAATTTTATCCAAACTTTACAGGAATGACCAGTACCAAATATAGTTGTGAACTGTCCATCTGTCTGTCCGTCTGTCACAACATGAAATTGGCCATCATGAGGCGACACATGTGATTACTTTCCCTTGCATCCATCCTTGCATCATGTATGAGATTCCTGAAGGCCTGAACTTTAGATTCAGTGCTACGCTTTGATGTTTCAATCCAGCGCTTCACCTATTCTGGAGAACATAACACATCAGAAATTTCGGGAGGTAGCTCATACACAATGTTTTCTTCTTCCTCTTCAACTTTTTTCGGTGGTTGTCTCTCCCCTGACACTATCGATGATTTCCTCGTTTTCAACAAGTGGTGGGTGGGCACCTCGTTGTCGGCAGTTATCCAATTCTGGATGCATATATCATTCATCTCAGAATCAAATAACTGTCTAGCTGTCTTAAATTCTTGATTTGTGAAGGTCCCCATCTCCATTGCTCACCGCTCTGCTATCGCCAAATCCTCCTCGTTAAATCTGTCAAACTCCTCACATCCCAAGTTATCCTCCTGCTCGAACGCCGCTCCTAGTCCCTTTCTCCAACAGCCAACAATTGTCTTCTATCCATGCATCCCCACAGAGATGAATTGCTTCCTTTAAGTTCAACTTGCTCAGGTAATCAGACACAGACATTTTGCTTTCAATCATAATGCCTGTGAGATTACGCCGGTAGTTGCGCTTAAATTGGCAATTATCTCCTGATCTATAGGCTGCAATTTTGAAGTGGTGTTTTTGGGCAAAAACACAGCCTTAATCTTACGGTCCAGTGATGTCAATGACTCGACACCCGGATGAGCAGGGCAGTGGTCCATGAGAAGAATAGCCTTCGCCTCTTACTTTTTACGGCGCAGGTGTTTCCTGACAGAAGGCACAAACTCCTCATGAAACCACTCCTCAAAAATTGTTGACGTCATCCAAGCATTCTTAGAATGCCTGTAGAGAGCTGGTAAGCTACTCATATTAAGGTGATGGAAGCATCTTGATTTTCCAAACTTCCCTATCACTAGGGGAGCAGGCTTATGCATTCCTGCCTTATTACAGCATAAGACAGTAACACAATCTTTAGCCTGCTTGAAGCCTAGTGTTTTCTGGGTGTCAGTCTTGCAAGCCAATGTTTTGTCGGGGAGCATCTTAAAGTACAGCGCCGTCTCATCGCAGTTGTATATCTGGTCAGCACATAGTTGTTGGTCCATCACCAATTTCCTTAGCTCCTTCGGGTAAGCTGCTGCTGCACTCTAGTCCATGGACTGGGTTCAACTGGAGGGATCAAATGAGATGTGCGCATACCGTGACCGAGAACATTCAGTATTTAAAGCATTAAGCAAAATAATTTTTGCTTCAATAAAATAAAAAACTAAATGCAAAATGCATTAAAGAATGTGTCACACACATTCAGGGAGGGATGGGCGGGCATTTGATCCCTCCAGTTGCTGTATGACTACATAGAATCCCAACCAAACGTCGACTCAAGGTAAGTCTAGTTTATTTGGGGGATTCTATTACGTCATACCAACTGTCCGTCTCAAATGAGACTTTAAAGCAAATAGCAAAAATTTTTTGCATGTAAACACAATGAACGGAAAAAATAAACATTCACATACCAACACGATTCATTCCGTCAATCCTGTGAACACTGCAGTTTCGTAAAGACTATCTTTAATAGGTTTATCGTAGTATTTTGCAAAAGTTGCTTCATTTGACCAACCTGCTACTTTCATGATTTCTTTAATTGGAATTCCAAAACATTTAGCTCTTGATACAGATGCTCCTCTTATACTATGAGATTGAAATCTTTTAATGTCAATGCCTGATAAAAACATAACTGATTTTAGCCATCTACTTATAGTTGTAGAAGTAACAGCTTTATGTGGTTTCATATAACTGACAAAAAGTCTTGATTCACTTCCTCAAATATGTTTAGTCCTGTTTATGTATTCAAGAAAAACACTATACACACATAACCTCCTATCTGGAGTATATTTTTTCAATTGAAGAACTGGATTATCTCTGCCTTTCTTAGACTGTTTTAATAACCCGCAATATTGTACAGTAATTGAATCCTGATCTTGCCTTAGACCATCAATAGTTATTAAACTTAATGAATGAGACCGACTTGCTTGAGTCAGAGCTATTAACATAGCTAACTTCCAAGTTAGCTGTTTCAAAGACAACCTATCTACTGGTGACAATGTCTTTAAATAACACAGTACCTTTGAAACATCCCAAGTTTCATTATATTTACTTTTTGGTGGACATAAATTAAACACACCTGTCATAAATTTAACCACTAAAGGATGAGCACCTGCTGTAAAACCATCTTCAGTAATACATAATGAAGATAATGCACTTCTAGCTGTATTTAGGCTATCATACTTGTAACCCGAATGGAATAAATCTGTCAAAAAACTTATGATATTGTCTACAGTAACTTGAAATTTATCAATTTTCCTTTTACTACAGAATTCCACCCATTTGTGGATATACGATGAATATTGTTTTTTGGTGGAATGTCTCCACGATGCCATGATGATGTCGGTAGACTCTGATGAAATCTGTCTACTTTGGAACAATTCCCTGACAAACGACATACCATTAAGTGTAGATGACCTATTAGTGGATGAACTTTCTTTGTATTTGGCAGAATAAGTGTGTCTGTAGTCACTTTCAAAACATAAGGCACTTCTATTAATAACTGCATTACTGCTGGATACCAATACTGTGTTATCCAAAGAGGTGCCACCAGTATCATTTCCCCTTTGTCTTCTCTCAGTTTCTGTACTGTTCGACCAACTAAACTGAAAGGAGGAAATGCATAAATTAATACATTTGACCAACACAAAGAAAAAGCATTAATTGCCTCCGCTTCTGGATCAGGTTTCCAGGAAACAAACCGATCAACTTGTTTATTCAATCTAGAGGCAAACATGTCAATTATTGGCACTTCAAATAATTTCACAATTTGTTTAAAAATATTTCTGTTAAGTTGCCATTCAACATTTTCATTGAAATTTCTACTTTGAAAATCTGCCTCATTGCTAATACCAGGAATGTGTGTAGCAGAAAGCCATATATTTTTCTTTAAACACCAAAGCCATATATCTTTGGCATATTTATTACAAAGTTCAGATTTTATACCACCTTTATTCATGATATAAGAAACAACACAAGTATTATCTGTATAAATTTTTACATGAATGTCTTTTTTGTGCAAACAAAAAGATTTGACAGCATGGCAAACTGCTAACAATTCGAGAACATTAATATGAAAAACAGATACTAGAGAGGTCCATCTACCTCCTATTTTTGTTCCATTACAAATACCTGCCCAGCCAACTAAACTTGCATCCGTTGTAATAGTCAAATCTGGATTGCCATGACTAATATGTCTTTTTTCGGTGGCTAGATTGTCAATCCACCACTTAAGTTCGCCCTTCATTTCATCTGATATAATCATATATGCATTGTAATTCCCTTTATTTTGCTTTAATGCCAAAATTTTTTCATTCTCAATTTGTCTATAAAACAAAGGACCATTTTCTACAGCTGAAAAGGTAGAAATCATAAGGCCTATAACCCTCGCAACTTGCTGAATTTTTTCCTTTTTCTGTCTATACAACACTTTGCATTCTTGGACAACTGTTTGAACTTTATCTAACGGTAAAGTAACAATCATATTGATGGAATCAATATCATTTCCCAAAAATGTAATTTTATTAGTTGGGATAAGAATAGATTTCTGGGGGTGAACAATAAACCCTAATTTCCCCATCAAATTAACTGTATCTGTAATATTCAGATGACATTCATCATATGTATCTCCAAGAAGCAGAGAATCATCAATAAACCCTGAATTAACATGTCCAAGCATGCGAAGTGATGCATAAACTGGCTTCATCAACTTTGTAAAAATTCTTGGGGCACAAGAAATACCATTAGGCAGGCATACATATTGAAAAATTCTCCCATCTTTTTGAAATCTTAACTTAACTTGTCGTTCCGTAGCTATGGGAACTGAATAATATGCATGTCTTAAGTCTACACTTGCAAAGAAACAATTAGGTTTTACCAGTTTAAGGGCAGACTCAAATGTCTCCATTTTAAAATGATGATAAACAATACTCTCATTTAATAATTTAAGATTTAATATCATTCTAAACTCGTCATTCTTCTTTTTGACTAAGAAAATTGGAGAAATAAATTCATTTTCATGATGATCAACTTCAATCAAAACTTTCATATCAATCATTTTATTTATTTCTTGATCAATAATTTTACTTTCATTTTCACTGAAATTATTCCTTGTACATACGTAATTGACAGGATCATGCCCTTCTAAAAATTCAATATGACAATGCTTAACTATGTCTAATATATTTTCATGACTTGTCAATTTTCTCCAATTTTCTTCAAATAATTTCAATCTACCTGCCTGAAAAATATTACTGACCTGATTTACTTGTTCTTGTACCCTACACGGGAGTTTTTTGGTGGTGGAACGACTGAAGAACCATGACCAGTGGCCTAAAATAACCTCTGCCAGTACCACGAGAAAACATGCCCGGCCGACCACTACGTCTTCTACCAAACGGCCTAAATGAAGGATTTCTTCCAACATCTCTACCAATTTTACTTATGTCCTGGATATCCTTGTTAATATCATCACCATACAGGTTTTCTGTAAACGGTAGGCTTGCAGAAGTCAAAGGGTAATATCGTGGATCTAAATCCGAACGATGGCATTCCTTCCTCTTGTTGTTAATGAGTTTGTTTGACTGCCCCAACAAAGCAAGAGCATTTGTGCCCAATTCAATTGACTTGGTATCTAATTTTTCCCCTTCTTTATCCAACAATTTGGAAATGTTTATAGCAGCTTTCACAACAACATTTTGTATGGCTTGAAATTTCACATCGTCAGACTGTGATTGGGGTTTCAACAAACGCCATATGCAACCGTTCACCTTAGTTTTCACCAATGACTCACAATTAACGGGTCTGTGAATTTCTTTAACAATGTTTGACAAAGAACCCTCAGCAATACCATTGCGGAAAGAATTGTTTACAAAAGTAGCAAGATCCTCATTTATTTCAGTGTCACATTTTTCCGCACTCTGAAATTTGTCACACAAATTCCTAAATATGTCACTCTCATTACAAACCCTCTTGCGTGGTGGCTGTGAATCTTCACCAGACTCACTGACATTGGACAAGACGCTGTGACTGTCAGAAAACCCATCATTACAACTGTCGTCAGGATAACAATATTCATCATATTCAACATATAAATTGTCTACCCTTTTTGATAAACTTTCAAGTTTAGAACCTTGTTTTGTTACGTTAGTGTTTAGTTCTTGCAAAATTTTAATGACTTCGTCATTAATTTTCTCAGGTGGTTGACTTTTCTGAGTGGACACTTTACCACGAGACTCATTTTTACGACCCTCGGACGCAACAGATTTACTAGATGACAACAATTTATCAGGTTGTTTATTGACATCTTTAGTCATGTTAGAACCAGATGTTCCTTGATTAATTACTTTCCTTCCCGATGTAGAGGCATCCGCCATCTTGAAAAGCACATGGAATGAAAATCTCAAAGCCGAAAGAAAAACTGAAGTTTATGCCTCGCATAAACAAAATATATCAAGAAAAGAAATTAAATTGATACTGTAAAAATACAATATCTAATTTATCAGAAAATATGAAATAAAATAGATTAACCGCGTTAATCTAGGAATAGAGATTATAACTCTCGGTCTAATAAACGAACCACGTCCGTTCGGTACGGTATCAAAATGCGTACTGAATGTTCTCGGTCACGGTATGCGCACATCTCATTTGAGACGGACAGTTGGTATGACGTAATAGAATTCTGATAGCATTTCTAGTCACAACAAACCCACTTTCTCTTAATTCAAGTAACCATTTGACAAGTCAGTCTCTAGCCCGTCATATGGACTCACACGCACAACGCGATGTTTCTGGCTCTTAGGGCCATCTAAAATCTTGTCTTTAGATTTACGCCAATCACGCACAAGTTTTTCATCGACTCCAAACTTGCGTTCAGCAGCACAGTTATTTATTATAAGTTTCGGCAAATTCTATTACACAAATTTTAAAGGCATTGTCATTATGCAGTACGCTTCCGTTTAGGCATTATTTTTTTTTTCACAGTTTTAGATAATCCAATTTGTGCGTGTTCTTTAAAATACTTTACTTTATGTCACAGTTTTTTTATAACTAAACAAATCCTTATAGATAATCCAATATGTACGTATAATGCTAGTTTAATATCTGTCAAAACAAATAGATGTGTAAAAACAATCAGCAGAAAAATCTATATATTAATGAAACATTGTGCATTAATTATAGGAAAGTGCGAATAAATTATTATGAACACGCCTGCATCCAATTAAAAAAATCTATGCAAAAAAGCTAATCAAACACGATAGGCTATGGGTGTGTCTGACAATTTAGTAAATTAATTTGATTGGTCTTCATTTGGTTTGCACTAAAACATTGCGCATATCATTAAGCAATACAAACATCTTGAGCGTGATGTAAGCACAGCTGCCCTGACAAAAGATCAAAGGTACCGGTATGTGTATGTACAGTGTATTAGCACCTGCTGACGAGTGTAGGACAAAAGCCCTCCCGGACAAAAGCCCTCCCGTCAAAAAGTAACAAGGCGGACAAAAGCCCTCCCGTGAAAATGACAAGGCGGACAAAATGACATGCCCGAAATAGTGCTCCTAACAGCATCTGTGGTCTCCCTCCACCTGTTAAGCAGGAATGTCCCCAAATAACCAATACCATGTTGGTGTGAAGTAAAAACCAATGGACCAAACAAACTAAAATACTCCAGGCGAGGGTGTTTTGAAAAAGATCAGGTTGCTTCTTAAAAAAAGGTGGTTGTGTTGCAGGTGTTTTTTGTCATGATTATAGAGATAAAGACAGTGAGTAGTAGGCATTATTTGTTTATCTTAGCCGTCATACTTCTACTCAGAATTGAAGTTAATAAAAGAGTATGCAAGAGTTCTAATATATGACAGCCTGTATTGTAAATACTATTTGAATGAATGAAAAAAAAGGATGACAGTTGAGTAGAACTAATAATTGTCATGAGTTAGACACTGAACTTAAAAAAGAAGTGTTATAAAAAGTAATTATTGATATTTTTTAATAATCTGTTATTCATTCCAAATCATTTATAATATGAAATTATAAACTGATTTGAGAGATAACATTGACACATAATAAACCCCTACACATGCCCTAACTATGCTAAATATCTATCTATCTATATAAGCATCACGTCTCCAGATTCATAATTTTCATGCAAATTTTGAAAATGTATTTGAATGTGTAATATTGTGAATTAAACAAATGGAAGCAATTTACACGTTATCATTGGCACTATATAAATTACCAAAATGTGGTCAAAATATGCATAAAATTTAATAGTCTTTACTACATTAGTAACGCAGTAGAAATTTAGTTGTAAATACTGAAAATAAGTCATTAATTACACATAATATGTAAAATATGACTTGAATCTTGAAAGTTTTTACTTTTCCTTACATCTAAGTACATTTTTCTCTACTTTGATTTTATTAAAATATTTTGACTCATCTGGAGGCATGTAGCTTTAATTTGACTTTCAATGCTTTCTGGGCAAATCTTCTTAATTTCAGGCAATATTTCAAAAAATTATAATGATTCAGTCAAGGTGGCATGGATGGCAAAAAACAGTTCCATCATCCTACTAAAGGTCTAATTTTTAATATATGCTGTGTTTCATAGATGTCAAAATTATGAAGAAAATAATGAAAATTTTGCAAGGACTGTGATTATGTGACATAGTTATCTCTCCAACAAATTTTGTTTTTATTTCCACATTATAAAAATTTTTAATATCCCCACATAACCCTTGTAAACCCAATTCCTCTTGTTCCACCTCAATGAAAAACCTGTAAATGGGTTTTTCCACCATTTTACTCACCACTGCCTAAAACTTTTCCTGAAATTTTTGAAAAAAAATTTGATAAGTTTAAATTTTGTATTACCCTTTATTAAATCACAATCTTTTAAAATCAACTAGATTTTGTAGTGAAATGTAGAAGAACAAACTGAAATTATATGATGTTAATTTGATAAATTAAGAGAGAAAAAAGACCAATTATGATCAGTGTCTATTGACATGACATACATGTATTTAGAAAAAATACATGGAAGTATTAAATTGTGGCCAATAGGGAATCTTAAAAGCTGCATTTCTGTAGATGAGCCAAAAAGTTTGCGAAAAATGTACCTAGGAAATAATTGAAGTTTTTTTCATATTCATACCTATTTTTGTAATTTCAGTAGATTTTAAATGACGTTTGGAATGTGTACTCTACTTTCTTTTTTTGCTGGACAATATTTGACTTTTTAAAACATTTTTTTTAAATCTATAAAATTAGCATGTATCTGCATACATCATGCTGCTTTAACTTGTTGCCTCAATTTAAAAGACTTATTAAAGTAAAACAAAAGAATTCACGTTAAAAGAAGCTAAAGAAACTTATAATTAAAAAAAAATGACATGGCCCCCTGGTGCTTCCATTACATACTTAAGTAGTCTTAATGATAATTATTAATACCCATGTGTTTCAATAACAGTATACACTATATAGCAATATTAAATGTATTTAATGTTACAAAGTAATACCTTTACCTTTATATAGCTTAAGCCCTTCATCAGTGTTCCATGTATGGACAATTTCTTTGCCAAGGAAACAGACATCTCTTTTTCTCTGTATTTGAAAAAAAAGCTTTGAGTTATTAAGGTTTTATAAATATTGTTTACTTTTTTTCTTTTACTTCAAGCCATTTATTTGTTATCAGTAATTTATGGTTTTCACTTTCCTGTTCAATTTATTGCCCACCCATGCTTTGTTATCCTTCATCAAATTCATGGGGGAAACTTCATGATTCAAGCAATTATTTCAGTATATAATTTACCCCTGAATCAGTTTTCAAGAAAATAATGTACATGTATTATACATGAAATTATTAATTTCTAAGATGAATCACTAACAAGCCAAGAGCTGGGAGCTTCCCAGATGCAAACTGCATAATCTCTGTGAGATCCAATAGGGAGTTATTTGTTGGATAAAAGTTATTGTATACCTTTTTACTAATCAATCATTAGTTTATTCTGCTTTCTTTCTTTACCTAGATGTTATTTTCCTACAGACATTTATTGTCCTTTTTTTGCCAATCACAGTCAGAAATACCTTGACAATTATCAGGTTTATTTTTCAACATATTGTAAATTAATACGCACAATTCCAGGATGCCTCACATTATCATTATGCCAATGGAGAGTAATTGAATTGAAAATAACTGGAAATATTCAGGATTTCCTTTTATGTTACTGAGACTGTTTTGAATTTCTGGCCAATAAAAAGCACCAAACACCAAATAATGTTTTCAATGTTTCGGGGCTGTCCCTAAAGATAGTATATTGTTCTGAAACATAACCCTATGCATGCTTTCATTGTTTGATAGCTCATGAGATAAAAGTAAACCAGAAGGTAAGCAGAAAAAATCAGGGCAAGCTTATTATGACTCAGTTACATATATTTTATCAAATCTCTAGTCGCATGGTAGTATGTAGATAGATAAACAGTTTATTTTGTGGTTCTGTATAATTACTGATGGTTTGTCATTTAAGTGTTGTATTTATTTATTTGTTTGACTCGAAAACTTTGCATTAAACTACATCAATTGTCTCAAAGGAGATTTCTTTTGCCTAAGATATGTTTTTTTTAAACTTACTTTGGTCCTTGGTTCTGTTGACTCTGCTCCTGTTGACTTCTCAGAGATTGAAACTGAAATTTACATTTTTTTATGAAGTATTACTTTTTGCAAACAGATTATTGTTATCTTGAAGAATGTTTGTCCAAATTTGTATATTAATTTTTTCTTCATTATCCTTTATGTGTGAGCTTTGAGCTTTCCTAATTCATAAAAACTGGTATTTACAGAAACATAAAAGAAAGTTTGTAAGACATTATTGAATTATTTTACTTGCATGTTTATAAATTGTTCTGGTTATATTAGGGAAAAAATAGTGATAGTTCATTCAGAATGGTGACCTCAAATAATATTAAGCTATTGTCTGAACATGCTTAATATTAATTGAGGTCACCATTCAGACTGAACTATCTCTATTATTTCAGACAAAAACAAGAGCCGGTTGAACCGGGTGATGCTCCCCGAATAGGTTTTGGACACAGGAAGGTATACCTCTTGTTGTGTCAGAGTTATGTCACAGACAAAGTTCAAAGTGTAAAAACAACCCAAATATTGTGCACGACACATTGTCTAAATATGGTGATCATTTTTGTGAAATAGTTGTAAAATCCGATTTCAAATAACAAAGTTATGCGCCTGACATTATTTTGCTGCAAGGTCATGCTGTGACCTTGACCTTCAACGTAGTGACCTAAATGTTGCATGCGACACGTCGATTCAATATGGTGATCATCTCTGTGAAATAGTTGTTAAATCCGACTTCCAGTAACAAAGTTATGGGCCGGACACGATTTTGCTGCAAGGTCATACTGTGACCTTGACCTTCAAGGTAGCGACCGAAATGTTGCGCGCGACACAATGTCTCATTGTGGTGATCATTTCTGTGAAATAGTTGTAAAATCCGACTTCAAATAATGAAGTTATGTGCCGGACACAATTTTGCTTCAAGGTCATGCTGTGACCTTGACCTTCAAGGTAGCGACTTAAATGTTGTGCATGACACGTCATCTTAATATGATGATCATTTCTGTGAAATACTTTTTAAATCTAACTTCAAATAGGGAAGTTATGGGCCGGACACAATTTTGCTGCAAGGTCCTGCTGTGACCTTGACCTTCAAGGAAGCTACCCACATGTTGCACGTGACACATCGTCTCAATATGGTGATCATTTCTGTGGAATATTTTTTAAATCCGACTTCAAATAACAAAGTTATGGACCGGACATGATTTTGCTGCAAGGTCATTCTGTGACCTTGACCTTCAAGGTAGCGACCCAAATGTTGCGCGCGACACATCGTCTCAATATGGTGATCATTTCTGTGAAATATTTTTAAAATCCGACTGCAAATAATGAAGTTATGGACCGGACACGATTTTGCTGCAAGGTCATGTTGTGACCTTGACCTTCAAGGTAGCAACCCAAATGTTGCGCGTGACACATCGTCTCAATATGGTGATCATTTCTGTGAAATATTTTTTAAAATCCAACTTCAAATTATGAAGTTATGGACCGGACACGATTTTGCTGCAAGGTCATGCTGTGACCTTGACCTTCAAGGTAGCGACCCAAATGTTGCGCGCGACACGTCGTCTCAATATGGTGATCATTTCTGTGAAATAATTTTAAAATCCGACTTCAAATATCAAAGTTATGGGCCGGACACGAATTCGGGACGTACGTACGGACTGACGGACGGACGGACAACCCGACGACTATATGCTCCCCCGAAATTTTTCGGGGAGCATAAAAACCAGTATGTCTTTTGATTTTATTTAAGGTTTCTCTTGTGATTTTATTTAACAAGAACTATGGTTCGTACTGATAGCACATTAATTTTAAATAAATAAGTTGTCAATGCCAAAAAGTACATGACACTTTCAACACTATTATCAAATGAAATGAAAGACTAACATCATGGTCCTTTGTTCCAACTGGGAATCAATAGTATAGAAATCAAAAAGATTATAGAAAGACAAATAATACTTGTCATCAGTGAAAAGATGGTACTTACAAATTTTGCGCTTCTTTGTTTCTTTGGTTTTTCTCTGTGTTGTCTTTTTTAATTCGATGGATGCTATGAATGGAGTTATTGGAGTTATTGTTGTCTCTGTTGGTGATTTGCAGTGATTCATTTGTTGTGGTGGTGTTGCAGCTCTCTGAGTGGGTAGAATTGGTCTGTCCTCTGCCTGTGTTGATAGTGGTTGTAGTATTGGAGATTGTTCCTCTGGTGTAGGTGTTGGTGATATCTGTGGAGTTGACTCTGGTGTTTCTTCTGGTGTAATGTGGGGTAATGTTGGCATGGGTTCGACAGTGGATATTCCTTGTTGATTGTTCATAGCATCCCTGAGTTCTATTTTATTAAAATATACTATACATTTAAAACACATACATGATGTTTTTAAAAGATAAATGTTAAAGCTTCACTTCAATGACAAATAGGACATTTTTGACTAAATGATTTGCACAGGGTTTGAATCCAAGTAAATAAATTAACAGTTGTTATTCTCTTCAGTATCAACTTCTACATCAGATTCAGTTATTGCACATGTACATGCATATAATCATGTACTACAATAATGTTGGCTATTTAATAGAAATGGCCATTAATAAATGCAAAATAGCTATTAACAGGAAATGGTCAAAAAATGGCTTTTTTTCTGTATTGTTGTTTTAGCCAGAAAATAATGGACATGAGTGATAAGATAATTGCTGTTCTTTGATACATCAACAATGAATGGATTTCAGAATCACATAAAACATATAACAAGCTTGGTCTGCCCATGAAATTCTTCCTTGTTGGAAATGATATTAAAAACAAAGTAGTAAAGCAGACATAATTAGTTCTTGGCAGGATTACCTTTGCTTGATAGTTAATATGTAATTCAAGATTTCAGTGAATTATTATGCAATGGCCATTGAGAAAAACAGAAATATATTCTATAATTAATCAAATGCAGCGAATGTGAGAATTGCATTATCATTTTAATTTTTTTTATATGCCCCTTACTTTATGATTACACCTTAGTGAAATGAAAGTATTCAAATTTGTTTCTGGTTGATAACTTTTCAAATGTGTTGCAGTAAAGATTTTGCCTGATGACAACAGCAATCATACAACAAGCACAATAGCTCTTTTTCTTTGAAACCGATGAGCGATAAATGAAGTACACTGTTATCTGCCTTAAAGAAGTATAGTCCAGTTCCAAAAATGGAGTAAAGCATCTGGACATTGACGGTATTAGTTTAATTAATGAAATCGGAAAGTGGAAATAAAAATTTACATTCTTTGACTGTATTGTTAGACTTATTAAAGTTATATATTTGCATTATGCGCATGTCAAGCCTACCAGAACAATTGACAATGCAAATGTAAATAAACTGAGACAATATATTTAGACAAACTTTATGACTATAACCTCATTTTATTATGCCCCCGCCATGTAATGGCCGGGGCATATAATGTTACCCTGTTCCGTTCTTCCGTCCTTCTGTCATTCCGTCCTTCCGTCAATCCGTCATTCTGTCATTCCGTCATCATCAGTTTCCGTTCATTATCTTAGTAACGGTTGCACATATTCATCTCAAATTTGACATATGGATATGTCATGAGAAAATACAGGTCAAGTTAGAATTTGGTCATGGTTCGATGATTTTTGGCAGAGTTATGCCCCTTTTACTTTGAAAATAATATGAAATTTTCAGTTTCCGTTCATTATCTCCCCAACAGTACAACACATTCAACTCAAATTTGACATATGGATATGTCATGAGAAAATACAGGTCAAGTTCGAATTTGGTCATGGTTTGATGATTTTTGGTAGAGTTATGCCCCTTTTACTTTGAAAATAATATGAAATTTTGAGTTTCCGTTCATTATCTCCACAACTGTACAACACATTCAACTCAAATTTGACATATGGATATGTCATTAGAAAATACAGGTCAAGTTCGAATTTTGTCATGGTTTGATGGTTTTTGGCAGAGTTTTGCCCCTTTTACTTTGAAAATAATATGAAATTTTCAGTTTCCGTTCATTATCTCCCCAAGGGTACAACACATTCAACTCAAATTTGACATATGGATATGTCATGAGAAAATACAGGTCAAGTTCGAATTTGGTCATGGTTTGATGATTTTTGGTAGAGTTATGCCCCTTTTACACATGGTTCGATGGTTTTTGGCAGAGTTATGCCCCTTTTACTTTGAAAATAATATGAAATTTTCAGTTTCTGTTTATTATCTCCCCAACAGTACAACACATTCAACTCAAATTTGACATATGGATATGTTTTTGGAATGCCCAGGCCCAGTTCGAATTTGTTCATTGTTCAATGATTTTTGACAGAGAAATGCCCCTTTCACTTTGAAATTAATATGAAATTTACAGTTTCTGTTCATTATCTACCCAACAGTGTTACATATTCAACTCAAATTTGACATATGGGTATGTCAAAGGAATGGGCAGGTCAAGTTGGAATTTGGTCATGGTTCGATGATTTTTTTTGGCAGAGTTATGTCCCTTTCACTTTGAAAATAATATAGATACATCTTAGGAATAAGCAGTTTAAGTTTGAATTTGGTCGTGGTTCAATGATTTTGGACAAACTTATCTTTCTTGAATATTGGAAAAATCTTGAACTTTCAGTTTCAGCACTCATACTTTTGTGGAAATGTATGTAGCCATTATTTTGGCTACAAATATGAAATATGCTATTTTCAAAAGGTTAAGACTGAATAATTTCAGTGCCTTGAACATTGTATGGAAATGGTTTGTGTTAACATTGAAAAGTTTTAAGTGCTTTGAACTTAAAATGAAAACAATAATTTGTGCAAACAAATTTGGAACTAAATATTATAACATCTGAAATTTTGGCTGCATGCGGGGGGCATCCGTGGCATGATGACACATTTCTAGTTCTATGTTTGTGTTGCATGTTATTATATATAAATATTTGATTTAGATTAAGATCATGCAAAGTTTATATTTTTTCTTTTACATAGTGTTCTTTTTTTTATTTTGATTTGTGAAAACTAAGCCTTCAGTCAAGTAATATTTTGTAAAGCTTGAAACACATGAAATAAACAAGTTATGAGTATGTGCAGTTACGACATTTTTTTAAGGCAAAGAATCTCAATACTTCAGTATACAGTTATTTCATATGTGATTTGGGAACAGTCAAACTGTTTGCCCGAGGTGGAGTGGGTAGTGTTTTGAACTGTTGCCCAAGGCTGTCGGCCGAGGGCAACAGTTCAAAACACTATCCCCGACACCGAGGGACAATTGTTTGACTGTTCCCAAATCACATATGCTATAACTGTTTTATTACCTGATCAATTAGTGTTTTAACAGTACTTGCAGAAGATAAAGGGAACAAGAAAATAGTTTTGCACATAATGTTAATAATTAAACTTAATACTTTAACTATGTCACATCACATGTGGTTTATGATCAACATCGATGGACCCTTCAAGTGGGAATCCTCTATGACGTCAAGCATGCAAGGGAAACAGTCGAAACTATTGACCGGTCAACAGTTCGCGAACGTTGACATTTTTAGAATATCCGAAAACAGTTAAATATTACATTTATATAAGATATTAGGTAATAATATGGAATTAACAATTACCCATCAGACTGTTCCATTCTGTTTCGGTCATTTCATCCCTTGTTATCAGTCCACACTTTTTGGCTTGCTTGTCAAATCGGCAGCTTTTTCCATATAGAGGGATCTTTTTGTTTTTGAATACAGCTGCAAGGGTGGTACCTGCCTTCTGATCAAATTCCTTCACTCTCACATAAAGCTTGTCTGCAGTGATGCGTATATGTGCAGACACCTTGAATAAGAAAAAGAAGAAAGTTGTAATTTACTGATAATTATTGTTAGATTTTATTTACTTGTTTAATTGCATACTGATTTCAGGAGTAGAGTATGTTGTTGAGGTAAACACATTATGATGTGATTTAATTTAATTTGTATCTGTTATGTAATTATAATGAGCTTAAAAATATAGAGCAATTAGGATAAACTGCTATGTTTTAATGGGTTTATAAATTGACCTACTTGACCTATGTGTTGTAACATCAAGCACATACCTCCATTATTTTGTTATTAATAATATTTCAACGGTATTGAAGCTGTTTATTTTTTTCATGTTTTTTTTTTTCTTTTGGTATGTTTTGCACTTTTTAGGGTAAAAACTATACTCTTTTAAAGGGAATTAAAGCAAATTAATGACAAAAATATTAAAATGATCTTATGTACTCAAATCACGCTAAAATGGCATCTTTTAAAGTCCAAGCAATTTCTGTATAAATTCTAAATATTTTGGGTTTGAAGCATAAATATATCTATATATGTTGAATGAAATTTAGACGTCGAAAGAATCCCCGAGTAGTTTTATACAAGTCATGTGAATTGCAGACAAACCCTGGATGTTACAAAAACATATATTGTGGATATTATATGATTGAAACAAGTCTAAGTTATACATTTGACATGTTCTCAAAGGTTTCCGGAGTTCACTATGACAACTATTGTGAAATCTTAACTCTCTAACCTGACCCGCGCCCAGGGTCAGGTTAGGATAAACCACCATCTTTATATGGAGAAAAGTATTGACATTAACATAATTATGAATGAAAAATTCAAAACTTTAAAATGAAAATTATGCCCGTGTTTCCCTTTAAATAGCATGGTTATTAGAATTGATATTTAACATTCATTTGGATTAAAATTAAAAATGTCATTTCATTGCTGTGAAAACCAATACAAATCAAGACATACATTCCGTCATAACTGTGTAGACAACTATGCAATCACTTGGCCATTTCCATTATAATATACTTCAAATATTAAGAAGAAGATCTAAAGTAATGGCAACAGTAGGGATTGAACCACTGACGTATGATATAATTATCAGGCATTCACTTTACTGACTGTGGTATAGCAGTTGTACTGATGACCTTATACTAAGCTGCACTCTCCTCAGCTTGTGTGACTTTCAAAACATTATTTAAATTCTCCATATTGATTAGGGTAAGCTATATGGACAGCTAGATGTGAATTGGGATCAGATAATTATATGAGTGCTATAATGTATTCATAAATGACTGGTCAATAAAATCAGTCTTTACTGCATTGGATTGATGCATGTTTATATATTCTATATTACTTTGAAAGCAATATGGCTCGTTTTTTTTCAGACTGCAATTTCTTCAGTCCTTCCATTGTAATGAAGTGCCAGATATATTAATTTTAATTGATTGTGACTATTTCTAATGGTTTTAGATAAATTTGGCAGTCGACAATTGCTAATCTAGAACATTAGGCCATTATATCCAAGCATTCTTCTTGCCAGAATTTCCGCAAAGATATTCATTTGTTTAATTGTAGTTATATTAAGTTGCCATTAAAAAAATACCTCTTTATCTTTAGCCATCATGAAAACCTTCTGCAGAGCAGTACCAGAACTACTGTTGCCATTTTCAACTTCTTGTGGTAGATTACCACGTGTGGTGTGGTAGTTCAATATCCTACCACAGAAGTCCAGTAGTTCATCATGTGGCAGGTCACAGGCGCTTAATATCTGAAATATGTAAATGTTTAAAAGAGATAAAAGCAAGTTACAGTTTGGGCAATCCTGAAAATATCTTTGTATCTCCTCCTGCGACCCATGCTAATTTGGGAAGGGTAGGTAAGTCAAATGGAATATTGTTATATCCAAGAAAAATTGTCTAACCAAATTATATGGATATATAAAAAAAGAGTGAATTCTTGGCACCCATTTATTAGAACTTGTATATTGACAATAAAAAAGACAGTTATAAATGTGTGACTCTCATTGATACTCTGCTTCCATGTTTCAATTTTTATTTATCTGTTTTTGGGTTTCTGTGAATTATGTGGGTAGTCAGTGGGAGAGGAAACAAACAGTATTTTTCAACTTGCGTTGAAATTGTCGGTTTGAACTTCTGATTCATATTCATGTAACAGTAATATTGTGACATTCCATCTTTTACAGTGACAGCTTAAAATGCATACAATCTTATTAAGGAAGTGTTAGCATGGTTTATTCTATATTTGGTCTGGTTTTCATAATTCTACATAAAACAGTGTAAGATTGCCAGTTTTTTTTTCTTATGAGCCTATGATTAAAAAGTTTCTTATTTTCACTAATTTATCATTTATGCCACTGCAGATTATATAGTGAACTCGATCTTATTGATCTTGTTCTGAAAAATTGTCAATCTAAATTCAACCAAACTTGGCAAGATTGTGGTGGGTTTCAAAAATTGTTTGATGGCAACAAAAAGAAATTAGAAGAAAATAGTAAAAAGTCATCTTCTTAAGACCTACCAAGCCCTAGGGTTTTAACTAGCCTAACATAATCTGCATGAAACATTGCATAGTTTACCTATACCAAGATTGCACTAAATTAATCCTCTCAAAATTAGGGCTGCCCTTGAGGTCAATAATTTTTATTATACATATCTATTAAAATGTGAAAAAAACTTTTGCCTGCAGGAAAACATCTCATTTTGAATGTCTTTTTACATGTGTACATGTTATGCTATTATCTTTTAAATAATTCAAAGGGTGAGAGTAAGCCTTAAGGTAAGGACCTCTATCCTAAGAAATGGCAATCTGAGATATTCATGAATTTATAATAGGTCATAAGCTAATAAGAAAAGTAAAATAACAAATCTGCATTCCAAAGTTCAATACAGCAATGTAATACAGTAAAGATCAATTTTTCCTTGTCTATTAAAACCTCTTTTATTTTTAATTCAATGATAGCATTATTTTATTGCATTGTCTTTCATTTGACATGCTGAAATATAACCTTCACTCCTAAATTCACTGGACACTGCTACATTATGGTGATGTTGCATTGTATTGAAACCAAAAAAGTCTATTCCTGTTATATATGCAGTGACAGCATTTTTTTACAAACTTCAATCTTATTATTTTTTTGTCAATCTGCTATAAATTTCTCATGGAAGTGAGAATATTCTGATCTCTCCTTCATTTTCATTAAGTTTTTTAGCATATAAAATAATCTGAATATTTTTTTAATGTACCCACCTTCTTTGCCAGCATACATGGAATTGCCACACCTTCTAAAATTCTTAAATCTCTGATGTTACTGGTTCTGAGTACCTCTACAATGTCATGAACGTCTTCTCTTCTAATGCCATGCGCAAAGTTGATGAGTGTTGGAAGATCCGCTGATGCCCTCTTCTCCAAGGCTGGACCCTCACCAACATGAGTTACCTTGTTCACTTTTTCGAATGGAATCAAGCACACTCTTGAATAGTACCTATAAGTGAAAAAATAATCAAGCTGTCAATATGGAAATTCTAGGTGTTTTTAAAATTTTATCAAAATGGTTTTTGCCAGTTATAGATTACGTACAATGAATACAAAAAAGAAGTTTTTTTTCCTGAAGGATATTGATCTCTTATTTCTTGTATTGCCTGATACATTTTTAAGTAGATCAATTGTCTGTCATCTGCCAGTCTGTGAGTCTGTCCATCCATCACAAAACACTAAATCTACTGGTGCAATTGCATCCAAACTTTTCCGGTTTAAGTCTAAGCTACACATATTGTTGACATTTTCCTTTTCATTTATTTTGTTAGAGTAATAGTCCCTTAAGGAAGTTTATTATTGTTTATTATTTATTTTTTGTCCGGAATGCAATATTATTCTCACACAACTATGGAATTTTAAATAAACTTTACAAGGTAGATTCTTGAGCATATTACACAGGTTTGTTTGAATGATTTTGCCTGAGTTATGGCCCTTTAATAATAAGGTGACAGATGCTTTAACCAAATAGGGATCAGGTTTTTTGTGGATTGGTCTGCCTGGCTGTCACCAAACATGTCCAGACATACATTGGTTTATAATTTACTGATTCGATTTAATGCATGCACTAAACAAATTGTTCCAAAAGGCCTGTATAAAAATATGATTGTGTTTTTTTGTTTTGTGTCAATGTGTTGAAATTAATAATATTAATAATAATAAAAAATACTGATGTAATAAAAAATTTTGGAAGATTTATTTTGTTCAGGAGGATGTATTTTATTTATGGAGATAAGTAAGATTTAGGAACAACCCTGTCAAGAACTTACTATAAGATTTTTGGAACAAATATTGTTAAGTTAAAACTTGTTATTTGTGTACATGCATTTGTCCAAAACCAAAAGTTATGTCATCTTGCTTAGGAGAGGTTGATGGTCAGTAAGAAGGCTCAAGCAATTAAAGTTTTGAAACTTATAATACCCCAAAGGTTCCAAGAAATAAATGGGGGTAATGGAAAATAAACCAAAAGAATGTGGCAGACAAAATGATGATGGCAAGATGAGCAGGATAGCTCTTCAGATGATACTAGTATGAATACAAAGGTTGTTGTTGTGAATAGCTAAGGCATTAATGTAAACAAATATGTTATTATAGAGCCTTTGGTGAAATGACTATATTGTTTTCATAATAAGTTAACTCTCACAAGTAGTGTTTCACCAAAAGAAAGTGGATGATAATTGGAAATACAAAAAATTGCTAAAAATTATATTTTTTTGGTTTGATCTAATGCATAATACACAACTTTTTATTGTGATTTTACTTTATTGTAGTGTCATGATTTGTTATTTCATAAATAAAGATATTTGGATTATTTTTAATTCTCATTATTGGTGAGATCTATATATTGTCATGGGTTGCAAATAAGTGGTTGGTGTTCTGTATAACTTAAGTAATATCAAACATGCCATTTTAGGTTAACAATGTATACTCAGATGGTCGGTTCAGTTTATGCCGGATACATCAAAATGAGTGACTGAATTTTTTGAATTCAATGTTTTATCATCTCTTAAACAGAATTTAATGTGAAATATGCGAGTGATGAAAGATTATCAATAGTTGCTTACTTTTCAATTTCTGAGAGGCTGAAGTTTGCAGTGACTCAAAGCAGCCTGAAAGGGGTGTCTTAGCATCTTCCTTAAACTTGCCCCGGAATGCTGCGTTGCCAAGGTCGATGCATTCTTGTTTGACTTCCTGTTCTTTTGTCGGGTCATCCCAAACAGATGGAAATGTTGAAATGGCAAAACAGTCACTGAGGAATGCCTGGGTGTTTCTGTGGAGATAATGATTTTATTTCAGTAATAAGTACAAATAATTCCTTTTGCTATCAAATTCAAAACCTGACGTAAGTTTTGCTTGACTCAGTTAACACAACACTGATTGTTTCTATATAGTTTGTCAGTTTTAGCACCTTTTTACAAAAGACATGATTACTCTAACCAAATGCCTAATGCCTTTAATGTTTTATCAGAAAGTTTTAGCTATATTCTGAGAATCTTGTTTTGAGTATTACTCCTAATTTATACCATTTTATTGAAATCTATTTTTCTAACAAAACCAATCATTTGTGACCAAAGTTCAAAGACAAATTCAGTCACTAGGAGCACCTTATTTTGTACATTTTTATAGCCTCTAATTGTTAATTGAACACCTTTCTTCAGTTAAGAAGATGGGTTTGTAGTGCTTGCTCCCTGATAAATGAGTTATCTGCTTAAAACAGTCACCAAATGATATATTTTCATTGACTGTCCAACCCTTGTATTTTCCTCTTTCTTGACCGGCGCCTCACCCTATTATGGATCTTTTTCTTTTTTTTGTAATTTTGCCCTATTTGTTTTGTATTTTCTATAATCATCTTATAGATACATATTAGCATTGTGTTCCATCCTTT